TGCGTGATCGGGCAGTGTTTCGTTCTGCTGTGCATGGGGTCGCTATGAGTCGGAAACGACTCGACGGCACTTAACAACAACAACAACATCTATATCAACCTCACTCTCATAATTCATTAAGAAATTAAGTTATTGTTAGACTTTTAGGGTTTTTTTCCCCAACTGAAAATAACATTACAAGGAACATCCTTATACATATCTCACTGTACACATGTTAAAGTGCTTCTTCTGTAGGGCAGATAACTAGAAGTGAAATTGTTAGGTCATAGGACAGGAATGTTTGAAACTAAAATGAATATAGTCAAATTGCCCTTCAAAGTGGCTATATCAATTTGTACCTTTAATCTATGTAGGAAATAATCTCATTTTCCCATATCCTTGCAAACAGCTGATCTGATCAGTGAAAAAAAGGTGTATCATTGTAATTTATATTCCCACAGTTACTAGTAAAATATCTTTATAACAAGTCAGTTCTTTAAAAATATCTCGTGATGTTTGTTGTTGCGCCTCCGGCCCTTTCTAATGCCAACACCACCCACAGCTTGCAGAGCTCCAGCTGAAGAAGAGGGAGGGTAAGTGACTAAAACTCAAACTCATGGCCATCAAGTCGAACCTGACTCATAGCGACCCCTCCTTGGGTTTCCAAGGCAGTATCACTATGGAAGTAGATTGCCCAACCTTCCTTCAGAGGAGTGGCTGGTGGGTTTGAACCACCAGCCTTCTAGTCAGCAAATACCTTAGGCACTATGCCACCAGAGCTCCCAGGGTAAGTGAGGAGGTTGCTAAACCATAGTTTTTACAAGACAAACTGCCAGCAAATCAGCTAGTGGTAAAGTACCTAGGAAGCAACTGGCTAAGAAGAGTGCACCCCCTACTGGGGGGGTGAAGAAACCTTGTTACAGGCCTGGTACTGTGGCACTCTGTGAAATTAGATATTATCAGAAGCCCACTGAACTTCTGCTTCACAAACTTCCCTTCCAGCATCTAGTGCAAGAAACTGCTCAGAACTTCAAAACAGATCAGTGCTTCTAGAGCGCAGCTATTGGTGCTTTGCAGGAGTCAAGTGAGGCCTATCTGGCTGGCCTTTTTGAAGACACTAACCTGTGTGCTATCCATGACAAACATAACACTTCTGCCAAAATATATCCAACTAGCACACCACATACATGGAGAATGTGCTTAAGAATGATGGAAAACATTTCATTCTTTAAAAAAACATTCTCCTCTTCCTGTTATTGGTATTTCTGAATGTTAGATATTTCTCTCCCATGAGTCAAAAAGTACCTAAGTATATGGTTGCAAATGGAAAAATAGGGCACAAAAATCAGGTAGTGGCAGTTTTTCCATTTTCATTTATGTGTGAATTTTTAATATAAATGCAGGGACATAAAGCATTAATGCAAGTTAAAATGTTTCAGTGAACAAGTTTCAGTGATTCAACTTTATAACAACTATAATGAAACTGGTTAAATTTTTCTGGATAATGTTAGCATTTGGATTTTTTTAAAAAACAAGTAAATTCCTTACTGATGACAACTAAAAGTTATTTGTAGCATTTTTGTCATACAGCAGAGTCCATCCATTCAATGTACTTTTCTCAGTTGTCCTACATGTAAGTACATGTTTTTAATGTTGTCTGTCTTCTATGCTGTTCCCATAAGTTTGCTATTAAAATACATTAAACTATTAAAAATATTTATCTTGTAAGCTTTGCCTTGTAAGCAGCCATCAAGCTGCAACAATTGGTCTTTCTTCATCCAGTGCAAAGAAGAATGAAGAAAACCAAAGACACAAGCAAACAATTAGCCCAAGGGACTAGTGGACCATGAGAACCTCAACCTATATGACCATGAGACCAGAAGAATGAGATGGTGACTGGCTACCACTATCAACCACTTCGAAAGGGATCAGTGCAGGAGATCCTGGATAGAGTGGGAGAGCAATGTGCAACAAAACTCAAAATCATAAAAAAAGAACAGGCTTACTGGTCTAATAGAGCCTGGTGAAATCCCCAAGAACATGCCCCTAGTTAGCCTTCAGGCCTGGAACTAAACTAATTCCTGTGGCTTCTAGCCAAACAATAGACAGGCATATAAGGTAAACATTTAAATTAAGTAGATAAACTCCTTAGAATGATCAGTCATAAGGGGCAAGGTTGTGGTCACTGCTTGGTCACAGCCAGCTACCCAGAGGGACCGAGCAGTTGAACCTGCAGGCTTGGGACCATAGTCGGTGGGGACATCAAGCTCAATTGACATAACGTACTATACAAAACATTGTTCCACCTCCTACTTTGGTGAGTAG